CAAGACACAATAAATACATCAGCTTAAAGTAGAATTTAGAAACCAATTCTTTAATTTTAGTTATGGCTCTATTCCTTTAAGATTGGTGTTGGCATGAGTTTAAAGTGTGGGCATGTAAACCTGTCATTCAGCTCAGGTAGTTAGACAAGTAAGAATAAGATTATTTCAGGAGAACATCACTGCTTTTTAATTTTTTGAAAAGTAAATACAAGGTTTAGAGATTGAATTATGAAAACTGATATATTAAACAAGGAGAAATAACTTCCTTTTGTACTTCCTTTTGTAAGCAACTGATATGTATTAAATAAGTTTTGGGCATAAAGTTATGGATCACTCTACAAATACGAGGCTGCTTCTTGAAATGCTTCATCATTTTGGCTACTACCATACATTTTTTGATGCTCTATTTGCCCTGAGTATTTGCTTATGCCAATACTTTGGGTTGGATCTGGAAATCATCACAGAAAATACTTTGCTTTTTTAAGTTATAAGGTAAATAAAGGTCTGGAGAGCCTCCTGTTAATGCTAAAGGCAAAGTATTCAGTTATTACTGATAAGGTGCCCAAATTGGGTCAGCAGAAAACTGCGATCCTCATTTCAGCAAATAAGCCAACCAACATGCCTACTTCTTCTAGGAAGATCCCAGGAAAGAGTATTCATTTCTACTGACCTGATTTGGGAAGTGAAGTACTTTGATTTCAAAAAGCAGACAGACACATAAGTAGGTATAGATTTTATGAAATTTAAGTATATCATATTAATGCCACAAAAGAAAATCCATGCTGTTAGTGAAATAATACACTGGAGACTTTTGAGCAGTTTGCTGTTTTTAAGCTTTGGGAAAACTGAAGTTAAATTATTTAATCATGAGAATAACAAATATTAAAACAAAACAAAACAAAAACACAACTTTTTATTGCGTAGTGCTTAAAGCCATATTGCCTGCAGCGCAATTCTGAATTTTATTAACTGTGAGACTTTGGACAAGTTGCTTAATTCCCTACCCTTCAATTTCCTTATAAATTGTAATGTGTGGGAAGACCTGATAACTACTTCCTGGGGCAGGTGAGAATATTAAGTGGGTTTTATAAATGTGTTAAGGACTTCCAACTTTGCTATTACATCAAAGAGTTATTTATTATAACACCTTATGTTTAGTCGGCATCTTATAAAAACATAAAATGTGTCATTTGCTAGGAATGTTGAAGAAGCCAACATCTGCTTAAGTTTGGTTTTGGGACTAAAGTTTAAAGAGCTTAATGAACAATCTCCTCATCTTTTCTTCCCTTTATAATTTTTCTGCAATAAGCAGGTATACAGGTATACATCTATAATCAGAAAAGTGAAACTATATTTTTAACTTTTAAGGAATAGCTATTACATTTCTGAGTCACTGATTATTTCTAGAAAACAGTATTTTCAACAATAAAAAATTATTTCCAACTAAGAATCCCAGAAGAATAGGCATAGCAACAGTAGTATTGATGCAAATTCTCTATTTTTGATGATTTAGTCATATATTTTATAAACTTTTTAGGTGATCTTTCATTTTGTACTCTTTTTAAAAATTTCATTGTTCTTTAAATTCCCTGTTTTTGTTCACAGGGCTCTACTGATGGTCAGTGGGTACAAACACACAATGTAAAGACCGGAATCTAGTTCTTTGTAAGTCTTTTCTAATAATCTGCATGGAGCATCTTTATTTTTACTCCATTTTTTAGCTTAAATTGCTAAAACTATAGTTCCAAAGTACCCCCCAAATTAAATTAGACAACAAAAAAACTCATTGTTTTCTCTTAAGAAAAAAGACTATTACAAAAATTTTTTATTAGAGGATTTTTATTTTGTTCTGCTTTGCAAAAATTATTTTCTCTGTGTACAAGAATTTTTATCCTCAGGTAATACGAAAAGCACAATTTCTATTGCATTTCAAAAGTGTATTCATAGTATTTAATATGTACCACTGTTTTACAAATGTTAACACATTCTTTCATTATAACATCTTGAGGTAGACACTACTTTACAAGGGTACTCAAAAAGTTTGTGGAAAGATAGAATTAAAAGGTAACAGCTATCTTTCCGTGAACTTTTTGAAGTGCCCTCATATCTCCATTTTACAAAGGCACTGACAGGTTCGATGTCATGTACCGGCAGTTGGTGGAGTGGCGGTTCCTGCGCTGGCCCTCAGGTGCAGGTGCAGCTCTGCCCCTCTGCAGCATCCGCCCCCTCCTCCTGCTGCCCTCCCCCCACCTTCCCACAAGCTGTGCCCACACCTCTCACAGTTCTGCCTCCAGAAACACACCTAGACCTCCTGACCAGTCGCAAAAATTAAATAAGCAAAATAAAAGCCATCATTAAAAAAATAATAAAAATAAAAAATAAATAGTCTGAAACCTCCCTGTACTCTGACAAAGGACATTAAAACCGAGAGTGAAAAATGAGCAGCTGAATGACAACAGCTCCACTTAACAGCTTGCAATGTCTTATTAGAAAACAGTAAAAGCATTTAGTATAATTCTCTCTAGGTCCATCCATGTTGTTGCAAATGGCAGTATTTCATTCTTTTTTATAGCAGAGTAGTATTCCACTGTGTAGATATACCACATTTTTCTTATCCACTCATCTGATGATGGACATTTGGGCTAGTCAGGCACAGAAAGAGAAATACCACACATTCTCACTTATTTGTGGGAGCTAAAAATAAACAAATAAATACACAAATAAACTGGGGGATGGGGGGAGGGAAGAAGACACAACAATTACGGTTCCTTGAAGTTGATAGGACAAGCAAACAGAAAGGACATTGTTAGGAGGGAGGGAGGTTTGGTAATGGGCCACAATAATCAACCACATTGTATACTGACAAAATAAAATAAAAATTAAAAAAAAAAAAAGAAAACAGTAAAAGCACAACGCGACCATTAGTTCTCTCGAGGGGAAATCAAATCACTGGAGGCAAGAAAGTTCATATAACACGGAAATGAAATTTGCATCCATAAAACAAGGAGATGGGATGAGATTTGCGATCTACCACTTGTATAACTTACAGGAACACACCTTTTTGCTGCTTGTATGCGCAAAGGGTGCTACTTACACTAGGCATCAGCTTTTTTGTCCTTTTTGGTGCTTGGACAGACCCGCCGCCCCCCCCCCCCACCCCCCCAGCAACTCCAGGACGACAACCAAGTCCTTATTTCATGGATTATCGACACCTTCATAAACCAAAATTCAGTCTAGTTACAGTATTTCACAGAGGAAGGAAGCTGTAGGATTACAACACTGTTCTAAATTACACACTGAATTAAACTCTTGACAGTGCTCATCCCTGATCCCTGTGTAAAGACATGACACAAAATGTAACTGGTTTGTGCTTGTTAAATACCAGGAACAAGGCAAACGTTCTTATGTGTAATCTGAGATGACAGATGTATTTTAATACGGTGTGTTTATGGAGACATTACTAAAATTTCAGCCAAAAGATGTGTATATAACAAATGGAAAAGCAGGTCTCCCGCACCTCCTTAGTTCCTCCAATCCTGATATCTAACATTAAGATGCCTAAATCTCTACCAGTGACACCACTTCATACACTGGGGATGGGTGAGGGGAGTCACTGGGCGACCCCGGTCCCCCTCCCAGGCCGAACTCCAGCGCCACCAATGACTAACTGCCACTCTAAGGGTCTGGGACAGAAAGCGAATGTCCCCGAGTCGCAGTGTCCCGGGACTTAACGCAGGAGGCGAGGCGGGTCGGAACCCAGGGGCGGGGCCGGCGCCCTCGTTCCTGACTCAGAGAACGACCTGGAGCTGCGGGAATTTCCCTGGCCCGGGGGCTCCGGCCTTTCCCGCCTGGGATCGCGGCGGCGGGTCAGGGCTCTGGTGGGCGCCCATCTGGGGACAGCCCCGCTAACCGAGTCTCTTCTCCCGACAGCGGCGCCCGTGCTCAGTGAACTGCGCTGCCAGTGCTTCCAGGCCCTGCAGGGCGTCCACCTCAAGAACATCCAAAGTGTGAAGGTGACGTCCCCGGGACCCCACTGCGACCAGACCGAAGTCATGTGAGTCCCGCCCCGAGGTGCTGCTGCTCCCCCAGAGTCCAGTCGCCCCGACCCTCCGGCTGTCCCCGACCCCGATCCCCTGCCCGACCTCCTGCCTCACGGGGACCCTCCCTTCTCTCTGCAGAGCCACTCTCAAGAATGGGCAGGAAGCCTGTCTCAACCCCACAGCCCCCATGGTTAAGAAAATCATCGACAAGTTGCTAAACAAGTGAGTTATGGTTTCTGTCTACACACGTGACTGGAGTCCTTGGTCACACATGCTGGCATCTGTACCCTGAAGATTATTAGATCAGAGAAACCCAGGGTTTAGCTGAATGACTGAAAAAAGTCATTATTATTTTCACAATTAAATTTGTTTCTAGTGTCCTCCGCCCCACGCCAAACCCCTATTCGAATGAGTGGGGGTAAATGTGTGTTCCTGAAAAATGACGTAGATTTGGCTAATGATGCTAAAATGCCTCTATCAATTAAGGAGTAACTTTTACTTCGGTCCCTCAGGGGCTTCAAACCTAAAAAGTAGCACCCTGGTTTGAGGCCCCCTGGGTCTCTGAGCCTTCCTCGTGAAGAGCAAGAACTTTGCAGTGAATCCCTGAGGTCAAGTCTAGGTTCTAGCTCTTATTATCCCGAGTCTCAATAAATGGGAAAATAATAGTAGGTACTTCATGAGGTTTACTATGAATTTAAGTCAAGTCATGCATGTACAGTTTTCATCCAGTGTGATATCATTTCGGCTGTTTGGAGCAAATAACACAGTGGTGACCGCAGGTCCAAAATTTCTAACTAAACAGCGTCCAGAAGCCTGGTATTTTTTGCTGCCAGAACAGCACTGGTACAGGTAGTACCATATTTGGAAAACCCTAGAACATCAGAAATCTAAGGCAGGAGAAGAGGGCTGTGCAGTCAGTTTCCTGAGTACCTGCTAACAGCAACCGTTTTTTCTTCACAGGGGTGACACCAAGTGACCTAGAGAGAAGGAGGAGGTTTCCAGGTTACTATTCCTGAAGGAGGTTCTGTCTTAGAAGAATCAAAGTGGAAGAGAAACAGATGGCTCCTGGGGACACATGGAATGTGTTTAATGTGTTCGACTGCTTCTTATGAGAGTCCTTCTATTTATTTATTTACATATGTATTTATTTATTTATTTTCAAAGCTTGTTTATATTCTTTCTGATATTTAAAGATATGGACATATGGATGTGTTTGGTAATTCACCGTATTGTAATTTTAAAAGGATGTTTTTATGTTAAATCAAATATAGTTCAGTCCTGACTATCTTTTAAATTGGAGATGATGGGTTTTAAATAGTCTTCATTCATTATACTAATATTTTGGGTGAGGAGAGACCACACCAAGCCAGACACTGTGACAGAGGCTGCGGATACATAGTGGGGACCCAGGCAGATAGTCAGGTGATCGCTAAGGCAGGGGAAAGTGGAACTGTTTAGAAGAATGTCTGTTGTTATTTATTGAAACAATTTTACAGTATATTGTATTTTACAACATTTCTGATGTTGAAGCTTTAAAAACTACAATGTTTTAATTATCCCATGGACATTTTATGTCTTCCTTGTAAGGCATAATGCCTTGTGTAGTAATAATTATGCAATGTTTTTCTGTGTCTTGGAATAGAGTAGTTATTTATTGATGTATTTTTATAAAAAATATGAAAATAAACCTTTTATAAAAATATTATGCTTAGGTTTGTTGCATACTTCTCAACCTTTTGTTCTCCTGAGTACCCACTGTGCCAGGAATTTAGAGCAGACTGTAGCTCATGCCCACCTACAGGCTGCCACTACCTGGCACTTCTCTTGTTTCTCATCCAAGAAGGCATAGTTGATGCTTTTTCAAAGGCAGATTTAAAAATCCCTGTTTTACATAAAATATTCATTTTCATTTATTATAACCAAACTGTTATTCAATTCCAGATCTTTAAATTTTTTATAGATATTTTTTAAAAAGCTCTTATTTAAATTATTTTGTTAAATGGCTTTACAAACAATTCTGCATTCTTTTTCCTTCTAGTGAAGCTGGGAGCTAAGTTGTAGTAAAGTGGATTCTTCCTCAGAACAAAAAAATCTGTGCAATGAAAAAAAAAGCAGAACAAGTGTGTGGCTGAGTATTAGTTCTTCACCTTTCACCTGTGTAAACATCTAACTGAGAAGAGTTTCATTTTCTAACCTTTATGGAGAACAATTACTAAATTTCATGCTGTTCCAATGCTTCATGAGTGTGGTAATGATTTAAATGTTTTCTAAGCCTATAAATTTTAATTTAAATTGCCCAAGATGATGGGAGCACACCAGGTTTCCACAACAAAAACAAAGAAGGCCTGTCATCTCATGGTAGGGAAAGATCTGAGTCATCTGAAAAAGAACACCCTCCAAACCTGGAAAGAAGGAAAGCTGTGCACACTTGGGGAGGGGAAGACCAGGTAGCGGGTGTTTTTGTCTCTGATTCAGGACCTGTTCCTGGACTTCCAAGTACTAATTTGTAGCCTTCAGCAGGGGAAGAGGCCTGGTTGGTGGCCTGACACCTACCTACGTGCCTGTGCAGGCTTGTCCTAAGCAGCTGGGCAAGAAACTACAATGAGCCCCCATTTCCTCCCTGAAAAGTAAATATAACAGTCCCTTCATAACTCCAATGTGTAAAAATACAAAATTACAACAAATTTGTTTTTAAGATCTCAATTGACTTTATTGCAATTCTAGAATTGGACAACACTTCATTCCATACAATAGAATAAGTGCTCCGATAAGTCAAGCAGAGGAGGTTGGTTTTACAGACAAAAAAGGGCTGAAGAAAGCAGAAACAAAGCACAAAAAGCAAAATGGTCATTTCAGAGTTACTTTCCTTATAAGGTGGCACAGCTGGCAAAATGATAGAAAGATAACTGATTGATTACTTCAGGTTACTCTTTGCTGTAAGGATTAAAACAGACGGAAATTTACTATCTTGCCTTCTGAAGATTGAAACTGGCTTCTTTGAGAAATTATGCTGTTACTTTTTCTCCTCATTTCTCAGAAGGGCAGATAAAAACTCATTTTTCATTTGGTGAGCATGGGAGATTCCATTTTGATTTTTAGCCTGGTCTTTTGGGTCCTAGTACAAAAGTTTAGTCCAAAACAAAGACCTCCTATAATTTTTGTTTAACAGATGTTATTTGCTAAGAATGAATGAGATAAAATGGAAAAGCAATATTTAAATTTTACAGCAGTAAAAATTCAAATCATTATGCAAGCTCCATAAATGTCAGCACAGATTCCTTAACCTTAAATCCAAGATATATGCTTTAGGCTGTAGAAAATTAAACTTCATGGATTTCTCAGTGTTCTTGTGAAAAGTGCTTTCCCCTTCTCATATCATAAGAATTAAATCTGTAGCCATCTGTAAAGTTAATTGCTTAGATCAGAAAGGATAATAAAAGGTCTCTAATCTGAACTAAGAGGGCCCAAAGGTTAAGTCCAGGACTAGGCCACAGGTTAAGCCCCAGGGTGCTGGGGAGACTGGAGTGAGGAATTTAGATGTCAAAAGAGATGAAGGTGAAGAACTTAGAAACTTCTGTAGATCATAAAAATGGAGACTGGGGGATACCTAGCTGATTTTATTTACATACCAGAGGGTTGGAGCTAGAACTCAGGCTCATTGTGTTTCCATGGAGACATGTTTGGGAGGGGAAGGCGACAACTTCCTCCTTCCTCTTTATAATCCCAGAAAATCATCTTGTCATCCCTGCCCTGTGGAATGTCTGGCACTAGAGGGGACAATAGATGTGGCTTTCATTGCATCATCCCAGGGGTAAGGCCCGAGGCAAGCAGGAGGTGGCACACATTGCACGTGAGGTATTTAATAGGATGTCTGTCTCTGACTTAGAACACATCATGTGTGCATTCAAGATAAAAAAAAATGTGAATATTAGAAACCCAATATACTCTTTCTCAACTTGATGTATAGAAAGAAGGATAAAGGAAGTGCAGTTAGTTCATTTGGTAATTAATGTTACCGAAACCCCAAAGGTCTGTTTGCTCGTGCCTCAATAGCCAATAATTGAGAGACAAGTGTTGGTGTAACGAAACGTAGCCTTTAATCAGGAAGCTGGCAGCCTGGAGAAATGGTGGACTCATGTCTCAAAGACCATCTCTGCTTTTCCCAGACTTTTCAAAGAGTTTTATAGGGACAGGTGGTAGGAGGCTGATTTATGGTAACCTGAGCAGGGACATGCAGGCAAAATCATAAAATTGCAGATAAACTCAAAGAACATCTAGGATGGGAGCTGATTCTTGGTGACCATCCTCCATGAAGTCAAGTCATGGATTCAGTTCCTGTTAACCTCAAAAAGATGTAGTTAGTAAGCTAATAAAGAATGGCCACCTGGGTTAATAATTTCTTCTATAATTATTCTGTGTATAGTGTAAGCTAGAATCATTATGTTCCAGCAATCATGTGAACAAAAATCATTGTATTCTAATGTCCAGCCACAAGCTATGTGGTTCAGGTTACAAGAGTAAGGAAAAAACCTTTTTAATTTAGAAGTTTAACAAAATGGAGTCACTTCTGTCCAGCCTGTTACATCAAGCATAGACTATGAAGAATCAGATGGATTGGGGAGTAGCTTCCAGTTCTAACACCTTCTAACTGTGTGATCTTGAGGTCATGTTTCTTGATTAAAGTTCATTTTCTCCTTTCATAAAAGGGGTACAATAATAGTACTTCTGTTTTGTAGTTGTTACTAGAATTGTGTGATGATTTGAGTAAAAGACTAAACAGTGCCTGAGAGATGATAGTGGCTCCAGAATTTCTGGAAAAGGGGGGAAGCAATCTGATTGAAGGTGGGAACAGTGTATTCGTTTTCTATTGCTGTTGTGAAAAACTACCACAAGCTTAGTTGCTTACAACAATGTACGTGTATTCCCTTGCAGTTCTGGAGGCCAGAAGATCCAAATCAGTTTCCCTGGGCTTGAGTCAAGGTATCTGCAGGGCTGGTTCCTTCTGAAAATCCTAGGAGAGAATCTGTTTCCTTGATCTTTCCAGCTTCTAAAGGTCATCTACACCCCTCATGGCCTCCTTCTTGCATCTCCAAAGCCAGCAGCATAGCTGCTTCAAATCTCTTCCTTTACATCCTCCGCTCTGTCACGTTGCCTTCTGTCTGACTCTGACTCCTTCTGAAGCTCTTTTATAAGAATGCTGTGATGATATCAGGCCCACTCGGGACAGTCAGGATAATCTTCCCTTCTCCAGATTCTTAATTTAATCACACAAGCAAAGCCCCCTTTTCAATGTAAGGTAACATATTTATAGGTTCTAGGGATTAGGACAAGGACATCATTAGGGGCCATTTTTCCACCTACCACAGGGGCTTGACATTCTGTGTTCAAAACACTTTTCAGTGTGCTGAGAAAATGTACATATAATAGAGGGGAGTCTGAGATTGTGGGAGGAATCGAAACGGTGCCTCCACTCGCTGATGCTTAGTAAATGCAACTGTTGTTAATGCTCCTAGATGAAAGAAAAGCAGACTTAAGTATTTTCTTCAGAATGGTATTGGAAAGCGTCAAAGCAAACTAAAAAGATTTGTTACATAACTGGAGGGAAGACAGGAATAACTGTTAGAGCAAGAGGAAGGTCTGGGAGAAGGAAAACTTGGAGAGATTCCTGCGTGGCTGTTTATCGCTGGTCCTCTGGCCCAGTCCCATCGATACCAACACATTCCTGAAGCAGGCAGAAAAGGCAAGAGTGGGTGTCACATGAAATTGTCTGATTTCGGGGTGCAAGGTGACCTCCACTGGGAACATCAAGGCAGGGAATGGGGGACAGTTGGATTTGAAGGGATGTTCACCAGGTGATGAAAGCAGGAAAGGGATGTTTTCTGTATTCAAAGATCAGTCAGGGTGACACAGTATGACCACGTGACTCTGAGAGGCCATCAGGAAATAGCAATGGTAGCAGTGCCCGAGGTTTTCTGGGCGAAGAAGCCAGAGCAGAAGAGGAATGATAGATGACTCCACTCTGTGATTATGATTACTTATTTGAGAGTTCTTCTTAGATATCTTCTAGCGACTTTCAGAGACTGGCGTGATGGGAGAGATGGGAGAGATACAGTTTCTGCAATAGCAGGATGGGGCAATGTTTTCTCTGCTGGAACATAACAATTATACGGTAAGTCTATTTTTTCTTAGGTTTCCCATAAAGCAGACAACCTGAAGCAAAGCCTTCTGTGCTACCACTTTATTACGTCTAACAGCCCACATTTGGGACCTTGTCTTCAGCTGGGTGTATGGTTCCCTTGTGGAAACATCTTATCCTCTGTCTCAAGAGTGACAGTGACAGGTGACTGGGATTGTGCCTTTTGCTTTCAACGGTCTTGTAAAAAGGAAATAAGATGATCTGGGGAGTTGTGAATAGATTAAATGGATTTGGTTCCATAGTAGCAAGTTAGGCCTCAGAGATGTCTGCTCTGTGGGCCAGAAGCAGATAGAAGTCCACAGAATAACCTAATGCAGTCCTGCCACAGAGCTATCAAAATACAAACCAGGGAGAGAACCGAGGCTTTTGAGCATTGCAGTTTCGCTATTACGAACAATGCAGTTCTCAACATTATTGCACTGATTTCCAGCTACACATGTTCTAGATGATGCTCTAAGATATAAATGAGGGACTGGAATTACAGACTTAAAAGGTATACATATCTT